ATACAAACAAAGGCACAGGTAGACACCAGGACACAGGAGGGACAGAGGCAGGACTGGATAAAATGCTGGGAGCTCAGAGAGGGCATTTCAGTTTGCAGTGAGGAATGAGAGAGGTGGTGACACTTGACATGGGCCTTAATGAATGAGTGGGATTTTCGCAAGAATGGATAAAGAAAACGTGTTCTGGGAGGGAACAGCAGGCAGAGACTGGAGGCCCCATCCATGGCCACACCTAGGTGACTAGTCTGTCACGAGTATCTTCTTCCGGCTGTCTCTGTGGCAGGGACTGGGGAGGAGACAGTGGACAAAACAGTGGGCCTACCTGTGCACCACTTTGCTCTGCATTTTAGTGGCATTGTAACCTTGTGACTATGTTGTACACATTCCCAAACCACACCTTCACACTCCACCAGGCACATCAGTGTTTTGTGTTGAAGTGTGTCATCGCCATTGTGTGACTTTGTTGCCTTTTAACCCACTGTTGAGTAGTGGGTGCTCTGGTCTGGTGCTCAAGTTCCCCGCCCAATGACCAGTGTTTCAAGATGAAGATATGGAGCATTTGACAAGGAACCTATCTTGCAGAAGTCAGTTCCTCTCATCTTGTCATATCCTGTTCTAAAGCCTGCATGTCTGGTACTGATAAGTTTCAGATGAGGAGGTTATCCCACTTCTAGGCCCAGAAGGTTTGACAATGTATTAGTCTCTCTGTTTTGGAAAAGAGAGGAAGTTGTCCTGATTCCCTTCCTGGTGTTTTCAGCTCGGCTTCTTTCTTGGCAGAGGGTGCCTGTTCATTATCAGAGGCCCTTCCTGATGGCAAGAGCGAAGATGGAAGGCTTCTTCCAGATTACTGGTTAATTAAAAGAAGCCATGGGTTTAAGGAATAGTACCATTATTTATCTGCATATTAACTCGTTGCTGAACACGGTGACCTGGCAACTACCCTGGGAACCACAGATGAGTGAGAAAGTGAGCACTTTGAGCCTTCTCCAGTGCCTGTGGCTGGCCGGTGGTGCTTCCCCGTCCAGGATGACTGTGTCTCCACCCTACCTGCTGTGCATACTTATGTCCAGCTCCCTCATTGGGACCTGGTGGGTTGTCAGGGCTTCAGAGTGGAGCCAGCATGGATCTAGGCAGTCAGACCAGCAGTAGCAATGCATGTTGCCTTCTGGCCGGTGTTATCAGGGTGGATGAGGGTCCCAAGCCAAGCTAGATGGGGCAGGGTCCTATATGAGGCAAGGAGGACAGTCAAGCAGAGGCTGTTGGTGCCCTGTGCACCACTCCCTGTGAGACCCCCAAGAAAACAGTGTGTGGCTAGGGCTGTGTCTGTTTCCTGGAACTTTCTGTGTGGCCGTGGACACACTGGGGCATGGGTTTGAAATGCATATTCAGTTTGGGTAGTTTTAAGGATATAATGGGGATTACCTCTTCTTTGTTGAGAGGTCTCAGGAAAAGAAAGGAAGCAAATTGCCTTTTACATTAAGCCAAATAAGATTTCCTCCGCAGCATCTGGTTTCCTGAATTCTCTCTCTCTGGAAGCAACACATTTAGCATAGAGGTCAACATTCTAAGACTTTTTTTTTTTAAAGATTCTTCCAGTCCAGCCAGGTAACTCCTAGCACTTTGAGAGACCAAGGTGAGAGAATCACTTAGGCCTAGGAGTTCAAGGCCTGTCTAGGCAACACAGCAATACCTTGTCTCTACAAAAAAAAAAAAAAAAAAAATTAACCGGTGTGGTGGTGTGCTTCTGTGGTCCCAGCTACCTGGGAGGCTGAGGCGGAAGGATCACTTAAGCTCAGGAGGTTGAGGCTGCGGCGAGCCATTATTGTGCCACTGCACTCCAGCCTGAGTGCCAGAGTGAGACCCTGACTCAAAAAAAGTTCTTCCAAATTAAGGTCATCTCAAACACTAGATACCATGAGTTCTCTCCATCCCTTTTTCCAGTCACTGTGACTGGCAGGTAGGCCAAACCCTACTCCCCACCCCTCTGCTGTGCAGAGCAGAGAGCAGCATTGATTAGCAACAGCTCAAGCCAGGGTTTGGGGATTTTTTTTCATATAGAACAAGCTAGATTAACATAGGTACTGGGTAAGCATACATACCAAATTGCCACCCTCCCATCTAAAACTGTAGCACTGTCTCTCTATTGTTCACCAGGCAATTGACCACTTACAGGCTTGTCAGATTTTTTTTTTTTTTTTTTGAGTTGGAGACTCACTCTGTCGCCCAGACTGGAGTGCAGTGGCATGCTCCCGGCCACTACAGCCTTGACCTGCTGGGCTCAGGTAATTCTTCTACCTCAGCCTTCCAAGTAGCCAGAACTGCTAGAGCGAGCTACCACGCCCAGCTAATTTTTTGATTTATTGTAGAGATGAGGTTTCACCATGTTGCCCAGGCTGATCTCGAATCCGCGGGCTCAGGCAGTCCTCTTGCCTCAGCCTCCCAAAGTGCTGGGATTATAGGCATGAGCCACCGTGCCCGGCCTCATCATACCTTTAATGTTGTTACTTCGGTTTCCAACACTTCTTTGTGTTCTTATTTTGCTACTTATCATGATTCCACTTTTGTAAATATTTGACATATCGATGCAAATGGACTGTAGGCTATTCAAGGGGGAAAATCTTGGTGTTGCAGTTCCTTTAATGCAGTCTATTAAGGGACCGCATTCCTCTTCCCTTAGCAAAATTTGCTTGCTGTTGTTCAAACATTTTTATAGTTGAAATCTCTAGTGATAGATTCTGGAAACTCTTGAAGAAGGTGCTTGAATTATGAGTCAGATACAACCTGAATGAGGAAGGACTTGTTCCTTCCTTGTTCTTGGGAATGTCAGTCCTCCATGACCTACAAATTAGCAAATATCCCTGCAGAATGCAGGGCTTGGGTTGTCCCAAAGGGTATAAACCTGGAAAAAAGGAAGAAAGAAAGAAAGAAACCTGCTGTTGACTATATATGTTAAATATACAGCTAATTAAAGCAAGATGGGCCCCAGGATGGTGGACAAGTATCTGTGAGACCCAGCTGGAGATGCCCTTAGATGAACAAGTAAAAATCTAGGTTTCTCCCATGGTAAAACTTTCCTAGAAACTGACCAAACAGGACAGGAAGAAATGGGCTGAGCTGACTTACAGGAGCTGGGACTGTAGAAACCTCTAGAAGCTATGAAGATACCCACAAGGACCTCACCACCTGAATGTCTTTGGAGACAGGGGTTACACTATCCTTGACCAAATACTGAAAGAGTTGTGTATATTCACAGAAAAGATGCACTGGGGCTACCTACCTGGAGAAAAGATTCAAGGTAAAGTTCTGAAAGAGGAAGATAATCCCTCCAGATATAGAGCAGTACCAGAGTAAATGCAGAATCACAGAAAAGCAGAATCTTAGCGTGGAAAGGGACCTTTGCACTCCCTAACCACTGGCTTTTGCTACAGGAAATGGAGATAAAGAGGTAGAGTGACTTGCCTCGAATCAATTAGAGTCAGAGCTGGGGATAGAATCAGTCATATATTCACACGTTTATTCACAGACATCTATTGAGCCGAGGTAGGGTTCTACCCCTGCTCCAGGTTTCCTGACTCATAGGTCAGTGCCCTTCCCAGCATGAGTTCTCCTACTTTGATTTAAATCTGAAAAGCTTGTCTGGCATCAGACTCAGACAAGGATGGGCCCGCAGATCGCCAAGATAAAAAAAAAAAAACGAAGCTCACTCCAAGATCTAAAAGAAGAAGAAGAAGATAACTCAAAGAAGGAGTCCCAGCACTCTTTTCACTGATTAAACTTCCAGATACAAGTACAACTTAGCATTTTAAAAGTTTACGACTCTATATTTGTGTTGACCTTCACCCAAATTAGGCACTTGGAATACAAACTTTAAAAAATGGAAATAGGTATTTTCCACTTTTGAATATAACAAGATTAGGGAGAAGTTGGGGAGTGGGGTTAGGCCAGGTAGTGGGGAGGGTAGGACTGGTGAGGGGAGAAGGAGCCATTAGACAACAATTGGTGGTGTCATCAGGGAAAAGGGAATTTGCCAAATGCCAGGCCCTTGCACAAGCAGGAAATAGAACAGGCCTGAAAGTGTTTCTCTAGTTTTATCTGGTGGAAAACAATCCCTATCCCAGTAGACACTGAATGTATTCCTGGAGCTTTTGCTCAAGACAGACCCCATTTCAGAAGCTTCTTCTATTCCTGGGAAAGAAGAGCAAATGGAAGAAGCCTCTTAGCTTCACTACGCTGGACCTGGAAATCTTCGCCCATACTAATAACAGCAATAGTTGGTGCTTACAGAGTGCTTTATACTCTTGGCACTGTTTATCTAACTAATAACTGTGGGATTGTGGAGGAGGGTGTTATTATTGCTATTTTTGAGATGAAGCAACTAAAGTTCAAGGAGATTAATGGGCTTGCATTAGATCACAGAGCTATCTGTAGGAGAGCCAAGTCTGAGATAGTCCTCGTTTTCTAACTCCAAGTGGGTTGTTTTTCCCGCCGTGCTGTGCTGCTTTACCTGAGGGTGGGGAAGGAATCCAGGTTTAAATCTGTTTCTGGGACAGATACACATCAAGAACATTTTGCCTGGCTCCTGGACTTGAATACAAATGAGAAGGTGCTAGTGGGGGCCGTTCCAATGTGATTTTGTTTCCTTGGCTTGGTGGGCTCAATTGAGTGGCTCAGGAAACACGGAGACTTTTTTGGGTTGAGTTTCTAGTCTTCATTGGCTCAACTTTTCTCCATTGCAAAGAATATCCATTCATTTTTCGATATGGGGAAGTTGCCAGAGAAACAAGAAATAAATTGGTCTTAAAACGTCTCTAGGTTATGTTGGTACCCTTCATGCCAGTGAGTTTCCTGTGAATTCGGGCCATTCTGTCACTACTGCTTGGGTAGTCCCAGTGCCCATAGGGTTACGTGGAAAGATGTGGGTGAGCCCGGGGCATCTGTTTTTCAAGAGATGCTGTCAAAGCATGGGTGTGTGAGTGATGGTACCTGGTCTTGCCTTTCAGAGCTGCCAACTTCAGGAACTTTACCTTCATCCAACTGAATGGAGAATTTTCTCGGGGAAAGGGACTTGATGTTGGAGCCCGCTTCTGGAAGGGAAGCAACGTCCTTCTGTTTTTCTGTGACGTTGACATCTACTTCACCTCTGAATTCCTCAATACATGTAGGCTGAATACACAACCAGGTATGGGTACTCTCTTTGCCACTCTCAGGTGGCATCCAGCTCGCTCGTGCTGGTGTGTCATTGTCTTCACAGTTATCCACGCTAATGTCCTGCTTGGAATCAGCCTATTTTATCCCAGTGGTAAAGAAAAGGAAAGCTATCTTGTGTAATTTAGCCATTGAAACTGTATTGTGGGCTTGTTGGCCACCAGAATTCTGGGACTTTGTCCCAGGTTCATGTTCATACCTCTCTTCCACCTCCAGCTGGGAAATCAGCTTTAGTGAGCATCCTCAGGAGAAAGCGAGGGAGTTCACGGGCCTGGAAAAACTGCCGAAACCTAAAGAGAAAGGAGTAGCCGTGGACAGTTACCAAGGGCAGAGGGGCTATGAGTAGAAAGAATCATACGAATATGATTTTCAAGACTTGACTCATAGGCTGGGCTGATGTTCAGCGGATAAACACTGGCATGGCCATGTCAGTTGTTAAAACACAGACATTCTTCTGTGTAAATTGTTAATTGGCAACTGCCCTAGGCTTTCTAAGTCTAGTCCTGGTGGGGCACCGTGGCTCAGCCTTTAATCCCAGCACCTTGGGAGGCCCAGGCGAGAGGATTGCCTGAGCCCGGGGGTTCTAGACCAGCCTGGGCAATTTGGTGAGACCTTGTCTCTACAATATATCACAAAAACTAGCTGGGCATGGTGGCGTGCGTCTGTGGTTCTAGTTATTTGGAAGGCTGAGGCAGAAGGATTGCCTGAACCCAGCAGGTCAAGGTTGCGGTGGCTGTGAGTGTGCCACTGCACTGCAGCCTGGGTGACAAAGAGTGAGACTTCAAGTCAAAAAAATAAAAAAAGTCTAGTCCTGTTGCCCAAAATCACCCTGGCTCCCTCTGACAACCCTCAAGACTATCCTATGGCTAGCAAGTAAAGGGTTAATGTTTGGGAGGTGTGGGGGGTGCTCTAGCACTTTCACACCCACTCCCATTTGTTCATTCCAAGAGCCACAGATAGCCATTATTTCAAATACTATTCCTGTGCTGGGAGGTCAGAAGTATTTGCAGATCTGACTGGCTTATGTGGCCCTGCACTTTTGAGACCTGTTTGAGAGCTGAGTGAAGTGAAAAGGTAAAGGAGACGCAAATATCCAGGGAGTTTCAGAGGGCTGAATGTGAATGAACAAACCTAACAGTTGTATCTGTCACTTTTAAGTGAATGTTGGTCTTCTGGTTTGCAGGGAAGAAGGTATTTTATCCAGTCCTTTTCAGTCAGTACAATCCTGGCATAATATACGGCCACCACGATGCAGTCCCTCCCTTAGAACAGCAGCTGGTGAGTAATGACCCTGCAGATGCCTTTGTGTGGCCCTGTTTCATGCCTTTCATTACCAGGGGCACCTGACCATGAGCAAAGGTGAGTGGAAGTCTGTGGAATGATTCCCTTAGCAGTTTTTAAGTTTGGCAGATGCTCTGGTCTTCGCTCCTGGCACCTTGTTGATTAAAAGTGCTTGCGATATTTAAAAGTGGAAAATAAATGAGAACAGTACTTTACAGAAAGGTAATTTCACACCTTCCTAGTTTTCTCCTATGGTCTTTGGAAAATAGTATTATTGCATTATAGATGCAGCACATTTTCTCTTTATTATTACAAAATTCTATCAGGTAAGGAAGGTGAGATTTCTGTTCCAGTTAGCAGATGGAAAACAGAATTCAGGAAGAGGTGGCTCACCCCAGCGAGGGCCAGATGCAGCTCCCTGGACCTCAGTGCTTAGTCTCGGCCCATCACACTGCCATTCCACACATCACTGTGCCTAGGGTGGGTGTTAGCATCAGTATGCCACCGCAAGATGACTTTCAAAGGCATAGTGGAGGTACTCATCTACTCAGATCCTGGCTGCAAGGGTGCTGGATAGTGGAACTGTATGACTCCCAAGGGTCACTGTTAGCTGAGATGTCTCCGTCGTCACAGGCAGTTGGCCCGTTCCACAGAGAAGCAAAGCAGACAGCAGGAGGAAATGGCAAGCTGGAAGAGGATCTCTGTACCATGTAGGCATGCCCCTTGGAGACGAAATTTCCCATTACTGTTGCCAGCATCATAAAGAGAAGAAAAGACCCTTCTCGCACCTGGGGCTGGGCTGTGATCATCTCCTGCAGGGAGATCTAAAGCTCCCTGTTTTTTCTAGAGTTGTGTTCAGGCTTAGGCTGAATCTCAGGGGGAACGTTCCATCTGAAGGCCAACCGTCCTTCCTTGTTTTGGGTAGCTCTGCCTCTTGTAGCAAAGCCGTATTTCTTCCCAAGGACCTCTTAGGATGGAGGGAGGACGTCTGCCATGATGAAGATGTGATGGGACCAAGTCTCTCATGCTTTGCCACAGTGAGAGAGTAAACTGATTTTCATTGAGAACATGTGTCCTGTGAAATTCTTTTGGAGGACTTTCTGTTTCAGCTTCCAGAAGCAGTAAAACCTGTTCTCTTCAGTCCCATCTGTGTCTGTCACCTTCCTTCCTCCAATTAACCTCTTGAAGCTGATGTAGTGATATTTTCCAGAAAGTTTCAGCTTTGGGTGCCTTCAGGTTGGACAAGGTTTATTTTTCACCATGGCCTAGCATGATTTAACTTTGGACTTGAGCCAGAGAAACACTAAACATATAGTTCCCTCTTCCCCCAGTGGAATTTTAATACCACTGATATACTGTATATCTGTTTATGTATAGATGTTTATATATATGTGTGTTTTTGTGTGTGTGTACTTCATTCATAAAAACAGTAAGAGTGTTTACTCCTCAGAAACGAATTTTTGATTCCAGTCGTGTGTTGCTTAATGATGGCGATATGTTCTAAGAAATTCACCATTAGGCGATTTTGTCATTGTACAAACACTCTAGAGGGTACTTACACACGCCTACGTGGTATAGCCTACTACGCAGCCTATTGCTTCTAGGCTACAAACCTGTGTAGCACATTCCTATACTGAATACTAGAGGCAACTGTAACACAATGGTATTTGTGTATCTAAACATACCTAATCATATGTTTATGTTTGACTGGAGATGGATCAATTAGGAAAGACTTTCTACGGAGGGTACATTTTGACTCCGTCTTGAAAGAGAGATTATATATATATATCACATGCATACACACACACACGCACACGCACACACATCCCTGATAACCTTCCCTTTCTAAACATAGAAAAATATGTTATAAAAGAAAAAAAATGGCCCATCTACCTAGGGCACTTACCATGAATGAAGTCTGCAGGCCTGGAAGCTGCCCTGGGTGAGTCAGGGAGTGAGTGGTGAGTGAGCATGAATCCTCAGGACATGACACTACGATGGACTTTATAAGCACCGTACACTTAGGCTACGCCAAATGTATAAAAACATATTTTTCTTTCTTTAATAATCAGTTGACCTTAGCTTATTGGATGACCACCAGCGTCTGTGCAGTTGGTCGTTATGCAACACATGAGTCCATTTCCGAGTGATGTTACCTCATCGAGGGGAAATAGGATAGAGGAGTTATTTCCTTTCAGCCAATCAGAATACAGTACTGTTTTACATTTGGCATAGAATGCGACTAATGTTTCCACTTCAAACTCACAAAGACCTTATTGGCTTGCAAGAAATTCTTTTCATTTCACAATCTAGAGGTTTTATCCTTTTATGATTATTCCTGCAGAGAAGCTGGGGCAAAGGGAATCTAGAGGCCCAGTGCGGTTAGGCAAGTTGCTCAGGTCCTCAGAATCAGTGATCAGAGCAGAAGCAATTCAGATTCCCCGTGTCTACTGCTAGATGTTCTGAATTATCTATCCTGCAACCTTTGACATTTACTTCCAAATACACTTTTGACCTTTCCTAGAGCACACAAATCTGATTTTATAGAGTTCCATATTTATGACGATTCAGTCTGGTGAAACAGCAATTCTTCTCTTTGAGATGGAAGGGTTTCCCATCCCAAAAAGAATATTAAGATTATATTCTTTCCTGGATGAACCATATCTTCAGTATGTGCTGCCTACAAGTCAGAAGAACTGCAGTAGTTCGGTAGTTTCATACACTCAGAAGTGGTTTTGCTCACCGTCTTTTTTTCTTTTTTGGTAGAGGTGAAATGACTCTTCTATAAAGGTTGCACAGCCAGCTAATGGCAGAGCTCAAGCCAAAACCAAGATCTCCTCACTCTAGTACAGTGGAAAGAGATTTGCTTAGGATCTAGATGAGAGCCGGTGTATAAAGGAAATGGCCTGACAACAATTCCAAAGGAGAACATCAAACTACAGAAATGAATATAATGGAGATAGATTGCCTAGGTGGCGAGGAGATATAAAATAAAAAGTAATGATTGGAGATGGATCAATTAGGAAAGACTTCCTACTGAGGGCTCATTTTGGCTCAGTCTTGAAAGACCGAGCATATGTATTAATAAATCCTTGATTGCCTTCCCTGGAATACATCAGCATCGAAGGCAAAGTGAGAACACAGCTCTGGAATGCAGCCGTAATAAAAGTTACTTACTTATGCAAACACAAGACACCTTTCCCAGCAGCCCTTGAAATATGACCTCGTTAGTCTGCATGCCAGTTATTCCTTGTCGTGGTTATTGCCACTGTCATTTGATAATATTTTGCCTGGAGACAGAAACAAGAAACCACATTTATGACTGTACGTGTTCAGACGACTTGCTCCCCCCGGCCCCCGCCTTTGTGTGCAGACCATTAGTAATAAGTGCTATGTGAAATCATGGTATAAATAGGATACTAATATTTAATTTTTTTGAGTTTGAAATCATGAGATAAAGCTTGCTGATGCTTTAATGTTGAAACAGTTCGCTGAGAAAGGAACGACTATAATTTTAAAATAAACATTAACTTGAGACAGTTTGCTTTTCTGGTTCAAGCTCTGCCAGTTCCTGCTTGGGTCACTGCAGGAGCCTCCCACCACTTCTATCTTTACTCTCCCTCCCTCGCCTGTACTCCATTCTTTCCTTCACCCTCTGCCAGAGTATGATTCCCAAACACAGATTAATTCCATCTTAAAAAGATATTTTATGGCATGCAGCCAGGGGTGTGCTGGTAAATACTTAACAATCCATTCTCTGGAAGTGGGCGGGTGGGGGAAGGGAGTGTAGGCCCCGATTTATAGCATTTGCCAATTTCCATGGTGCAAATACTCCCACCATGACCTATTTCAGGCTGCCCATGTGACGTCACTGGACCCTGCGTTGGGAGGAGATTTGCACAGTCTTTGTGAGCTGGTACTCACTGGCTCCAACACAGCACCACAATCGCTGGATCCTTGTTAGGATTCATCGTTCTCCACAAACTGACGCTCAGATGGATTACAGAGAAAATATCTGTACACATAGTAAACTTAGCATGAAGTACCAGCTCCATAGACACCCGAACCAGCCCCGCTGCCATTTGAGCACACTTGCTCAGAGTCTCCTGGCTGTCACTCCCCCTGAGGGCCAACTCCTTACCTTTTTTAATGCCTACAGTCTCTGGTGCAGATATCTAAGTCTGCCTTGGGGTCCCGGTGTGTGCGTAGCGTGCTGGCTCCTGTCCTTACTCTTTCTCATCATACCCTTCACCTCTTTAGCCCTCTTCGAAAAGCATTTTACCGCTGACCTGCATTTCCGTTTATCAACTTTTTAAATCGCCGACTGAGCGTAGTACATCCTATGCATTCTTGTAGTCTGTTCTTATTTATTCAGGACACATACACTCACTGAGTACCAAAATTAATATTAACAGGTGCTATTTATGGAGGCTTTCCATAAGCCAGCCCCATCATCTCATGGAATACTCGGTAAAGAGAAGAGGCACCATATTCTCCTTTCACAGATGACAGATTTGAGGGTCAGACAGCATTAAGTCGCTTGCTCACAGCAGCCAAGCGGTAGAGGCGGGAACTCAAGTGCTATGCCTTGTCACTGAGACTCAACTAAGGATGCAAGTCAGTAGAGGACACATCCTTTGCCCTCAGAGCCCTTCGAGAAGGGCAGTGAGTCTAGTTTAGATTACAGTTTCCTGGAAATGAGGGAATCTGGATGATTCCTTGTCCTGCAAGATACCCTTAGAAGACACAATATATTTTTATGCCCATACCAATAAAAAAAAAAAGACTTGTAGAAAAAAACGAGTTGGTAAAAATCTGGGAGGAGATAGCATTTGAGATGTTTCGTTTTGTTTTATTTTTTGGCAGGGTCTCACTCTGTCACTCAGGCTGGAGTGCTGTGGCATGATCATAGCTCACTACGGCCTCGAACTCCTAGGCTCAAGTGATCATCCCACCTCAGCCTCCCGAGTAGCTGGGACTGCAGGCATCTGCCACCATGCCTGGCTAATTGTTTCTTTTTATTTTTTGTAGACACAAGGTCTCACTGTGTTGCCCAGGCTGGTCTTGAACTCCTAGCCTCAGTTGATCCTCCTGCCTCAGCCACCCAAAGTGCTGGAATTACAGACATGGGCCACCACTTTGTGTTCATTCTTAAACAAATTCTTTGTACACTGTGGCACAAAATACTTTATTTCTCATGAAATGACATTGTCACAGGGATCTAGGGTTGGTCTGGGCTAGTGATCTTGGGCAAGTTATCCTACCTCCATACCAAGAGGTCACAAGAAGAGGACATGCAACCCTCCTGGAATTCTGTGCAGCCTGATCACCAAGCCATCAGGGTCCAGAAAATAAAGAATGTACGGGGCAGGGGCCACCCAACCCAGACACAGAAGCCGCCGTAGCTCGGAGTGTCTGCCGTTCACTGGGTGGGACTTGCGACATATTTGGCATGGCCTGGTGCAAAATGAAAATGCAAGCCCTTTTCCCAAAAGCATTCAGAATTTTAAGACAGCAACAGCAGGCGTGGGGTCTTCCAATGCAAGGCTAACCAGACACAGCCCCAGTTCTTGGGACACTCACTCTGATTTAGAGGAAATACTCTGCCTGAGTATTTGTTATTTATTTTTATTTTAGGGGCCAGATTGCCTCACGGGCAGTTGTCCAAGTTGGCGCCATTAAGCCAGACAGGCGCTGACCGCCTCCCAACTCCCCCTGCAGCTGCAGAGCGGCCGCCTTCCCACATCTTTGGGGAGAGATGCTGATCTGTGCTTTGTGTTTTGGTGCTAATAGAAAATAATCGCCCCCGTCATGTGACTCGCCCACAGAGCTGTGGCTCTGGAAACTTCCTGTGGGAGAGCAGGCCTGACAACTGTCCTTTTGTAGTGTGTTCATGGTCTGCAGCGTTCTGCTGAGATCTCAGGTGGGGAGGGAGAGGGCTGTGCAGAGAAGCTGAAGGAGGCCAGCCGTCAGAAGACATTTTTCAAAATGAGGCTAGCACTTGAAAACAGATCAGCAGAATTCAGGACAGGAGAAAGAGGCTTTTTAAAAAAAACATTATCTTTGGGTTTCTTTCTCTTCTGTTGTAGCAGACATCATTGATGCATATCTTATCAATGTGTGAACAGGACAGTGGAGCTCCTAACGCCTGGGGCAAAGTTTCTGAGAAGTCACGCATTCTGCCTTAGACCCAGGAAAACAGTTTTGTCTGTTGGTGCAGGGCTGCATTAGTCTGAGAGTTTTCACCATTGGACTTCCTAGGGCTTTGCTGGGCCACTTGCTGATAAGCATCTCCTACTTGAAGCATGTCTGTTTCTATGACTTGAACCCATCTCTCCCCTAGGACTGCTCCCTGTTCATTCACTGAGGAAGTGTTTATCGAGTGCCTGCTCTGTGCTCTACAGTGTTCTAGGCGCTGGAGAGACAGCCATGACTGAGACCAAGTCCTGAGCTTATATTCACCAGTGCTAGTGGGTACAGACAGTCTGCAAACAGAGAAACAAATAAATGCATCATCATTTCAGAGAATCATCATTGTTAGAGAAAAGATAAACCAGGGGAGCCGTGTAGAAAGTGACACGTAAGGCCAGGCTCAGTGGTTGAACCTGTAATCCTAGCACTTTGGGTGGCAGAGGCGGGTGGATTGCCTGAGCCCGCGGGTTCGAGACCAGTCCAGGCACTTGATGAGACCTCATCTCTACAATAAATTAAAAAATTAGCCAGGTGTGGTAGCATGCGCCTATAGTTCTGGCTACTTGGAAGGCTGAAGTGGAAGGATCACCTGAGCCCAGCAGGTCGACGCTGAGGTGGCCATGAGCATGCCACTGCACTCCAGCCTGGGTGATCGAGTGAGACTACAACTCAAAAAAGAAAAGAAAAGAAAGTGATACATGGGGTGGCAGGAGGATGAGGATGATCACTCTGACATCGGAACAGAGCTGAGTGGTAAGCAGAGAGTGACCCAAGCTTGAGGAACTGCAAAGTGTCCAGCCTTGGAGACCTATGGGCCCAGAGAGTCCAAAGAACAGAAAACAAGGCTGTCTACAGGGCCAAAGAATGAGAGGAAATGAAGTGGCTGAGGCAGCCAGATCACGTAGGACTTGAGGTTTTCTTGTGGATTTTATTCTAACTGCCTTAGGGAACCGTTGCAGGGTTTCAAATGGGAGCGTGATGTGATCAAATGTACACTTGAGAGCACTCACTACCACCAGGCTGCCTGTTGAGGGCACCATTTCAGTTAGCAGCTCAGCATAGCTGTGGGTGGTAGAACCTCTAATAAGTGAATTTCATCTTGCCCTGAAATTAAATGCTGTGGGCACGACCAAGTCAGCTTCCACAAAGGGCTAAATTTCAGTGAGCTCTTCAGAGAGTAGCTTTTTGTGACTTGCCAACTTAAGACTGACTTGAATAAATATTTCTATAGCTCATTCCCCAGCTTACAAACCAGTTTGTCTCTGTCACACTGTTCCCAGGTGAGGGTCATCCTTCACCTTGTTCCCTTGCCAAGTGCTGCATCAACCCAGTCCAGTATTCTTCTTGTCTTTCTTCCCAAGTCCTGCCCAATTATTTTCCTGCTTGGAACATTCTTTTGAAAATTCCATCTACACCTTAGCCAAATATTTGAAGTTTGGATACTGGCACTTCTCTTTGACTCCAATTTTATCCAGAGGCTTAGGAAACTTGTGCATGTCCTGGCCAGCAGAAGGGACATCAAGCCATTTGCCACAACAGAAATGGTGTACCCGGTAGGATAAGGATGGAACAAAATACACTTATTAAAAAACTGACTCTGCAGAGACTTTTCCAGACTTTCCTGTCTTGCAGAATCCTTCCAGTTGATACTAATGAAATTGTCTTGTCATTTGGAAGATATCATGTAACAGTTGTGATGTAGAATTGGAAAGCATCTGCTGGGATGACTTGAACCGACAGAACCTCTCTTAGGCCTCATGTCCCTTGGGCAGTGTGGACGCGTCTGCACAGTCGTGTGAGCAACATCTCCATGGAGGTTGTAGTGACAATTAGACGGTTTCACAGGTTCCATAGCAAAAGAATGTTTAAAATTCATCAATCCTTCTGCAAGCTGTTTGCCAAATATAATTAGCCTGAACTTCAAGACGCGGGAATACGAGTGATAGGATGAATGTTTAGATGTGAGAGCTGGACGACACCTCAGAGGCGGGTTAGCTCAACCTCCTCATCTTATGGGACAGAATATCAAGGCATGAAGAAGCGAAGAGCCCTGTCTGAGGTGAACAAGCCAGCCAGTGGTCAAGCTGGGGCAAGCCTCCGGTACCCCTGCCCCCATGTACTGTTTCTAATTAGCAGTGAGCAGAGTCAGATGTCTTAAACAGAACGTACAGAAATCTCAGAGACTGAGGATTTGCTACCCCTTTCCTCTCCCTTCCCCTGGGGAGGGGACTGCCTTTCATCTGAGCACCTATGTTGACCACAAGAATGAAGCGTGAAAAATAACTATTAAGATCTCAAAGCCACTCCCAGGGTTACCGCAGCCCGTGTGCGAGTGAGAGAGAGAGAGAGAGAGAGAGAGAGAGAGAGTGTGTGTGTGTGTGTGTGTGTGTGTGTGTGTGTGTGTGTGTGTGTAAAGCCTTGCTGCTTCAGCAAATAGCAAATATATTGGAAACTTACTTGCAAAAGGAGGGACTGAGCCCTGCTTGGATGGCCTCTCAGCAGCCCTGCAAGCTGGCACCACTGAAGATGCTTTGGGGAGCAGTTTGGTTTTAAAATAGCGTAAAGATGAATGGACAGAGTCTTTCTTCAGAACCTGGACTTTAAGTGCCCTTTTCCTCAGCAAGCGAGAGTCAGCAGAGTTGGAGAGCTGAAGTCTCTCAGATATTTCTTTTTATTCCCCGAGGGAGTCCTATGTGTGGACCGTGCCAGGGCAGCTGAATTCTGAGTTGTTCTCTACCCCTTTTCTCAACTTCCTGAGCCCTTTGCTGGCTTCCCGCCCAGGCCTGTGTGAGGGGCCCAGGCCTCCGATGCTTGCTGGTACTGGTACAGGGCCAGGCGCGTAGGTGGCTTTTCCACGGCACTGCTCAAAAAAAACTTGCTGTCCCGGTTTGTTTTTGATTGTGTGTATGTGCATGTGTGTTTTCATGCCTACACCCTAGAAACATTCCAGCCAGAGGTGCCAAAAATCACAAAGTCCCGTTTTGGGGCTGGTGCGTGTTCCGTATTCCTGACAGTCTGCCAGGACATCTGCATTGCCCACATCGAGTTGTGGCCGATTCATCAGTGATGGGATGAGCTCTGTATTTACCATGGCCCACACGAGTCTGAATAGTTTCTGTTTTGTCCACCTCATCCATCCCCCCGCAAATGACAGTGCTTTCCCTGCAGGTCATAAAGAAGGAAACTGGATTTTGGAGAGACTTTGGATTTGGGATGACATGTCAGTATCGGTCGGACTTCATCAATATAGGTAGGACAAACCTGCATCTCTGCTGCCACCCAGAGGCCACTGGCCTGCACAGGCCTTGAAGGAATGGAGTCAGGTTTCCAAGGAGCCTGGCGGCAAGGGTGATGCCGCTTCCTTTTAGAAAAGGCTGTTGCTTGTGTCGGGGACCCAGGGCTGGACCAAGATGGGGCTTGGGAGTGGGCAGCCCTTTAGCCCCGTCTCCATCAGCACCACTCAGTCACCCCAAATAAGACGTACAATCTAAGATAAAACCGTGTCTTTGCAGCGGGTTCTCCGGTGCCTCCTTCCAGCTGGGTTCTGGCTGCCGGGCTTCTCCTATGCAACATTCTGAGCCTCCCAGCAAGCGTCAAAGGGAAACATGGGAACCTTGGGGAAGGCACATCTGGAAGTTTCTAGCTGTCGTTACAAGCCCTGACTGAGCAACTCGAACCCGACTGACAGCAGTTGCCGTCCACACACACACAAACACATGCATACACACATGTGCACACACTTACAGGTTTCCAGAGCAGAGAGGGGAATGGATTCAGGTGAGCACACCAAGCCTCTCAATGGCAAAGACATTGCTCCAGGCCTCAAGGGGGGTGGTCAGAGAGGCTCTTTGTCCCCCTTAGAAATACCACCCACCTCCCTACACGCATGCCTCTGAACGAACAGGGCAGAAACCTTTATGTCGAACTCAGAGGGGCCCAGAACAAGAATGGAGTCAGGAGGGCCCCTCGCTGGGGCCAGCATGGAGTGTCGTATCCCCAGTACCCTCCCATATACCCCAGAGCTGCTGGTCTTGCTCTCTCCCAGGCTGCTCCCCCAACAGTCCCAAGGCCTGCAGCTTCTCGTTTTAAACTCGGGAAGCAGGAGCAGCCCCAAGTTTGTTTTGCTCAGAGATGATGTGGGTTATCAAAGAAATCATAGGGTTCAAGGTGGGGGGGAATCAAACAACTTGAAGTCAGGTCCCGTTAGAAGCAGTAAGAGCGGAGCGGGCCAGGCGTTGATCACCAAGTGGCAGTGCTCAGTAGCAACCAATGGCAAGTGTCCTTCGACATCTCTAAGAGAAATACTTCCAAATGATTATGTGCAAATCAAATTGCCAAAAGTGGCATTAATTTTTTTTTTTTTTTCCTGGGAGGCTCAGCCTGTAATCCCAGCACTTTGGGAGGCTGAGGTGAGTGGATGACCTGAGCCCATGAGTCCAAGACCATCCCGGGCACCTGGCGAGACCTCGTCTCTACAATAAATAAAAAAATTAGCCAGGTGTGGTAGTGCGTACACATAGTTCCAGGTACTTGGAAGGCTGAGGGGGAAGGATTGCCGGAGCCCGGCAGGTCGACGCTGGGGTGGCCGTGAGCGTGCCACTGCACTCCAGCCTGTGCAACAGAGTGAGACTCCAACTCAAAAAAAAAAAAAATTTTTTTTTCTGAGTATTTCCACTTCAATAAACTCTGCTTTCTTGGTCTTTGTACAGGGAAAGATGATTTTGTGATGGTCTGCTTATCAAATTTGGATTCAGAGTATACTGGATTCTCCTAAAAACAGATGTAACTGTAACTGAAAAAATGAGGTCAGGGCAGGTTGGGGAGTCACCCTTCCTCAGTGTGCCATGACCTCAGAAGCTTTGGGTCATATTTAGACCATTTTTTGCAGTTTCACACTTATTTGCAAGTGTCTTGCTTGTGCATCTTGTTTTTAATAAGTTATGATGATAACAATCATCATAATAATGAATCAATTGTAGTTAACCAAGTCTTGCTCTTATTTATTTTTCTGTTTTTGTTTCTGAGTCTCAGTCTGTCACCCAGGCTGGAGTGCTATGACATGATCATGGCTCACTGCAGCCTCGACCTCCTGGATCCTTCTGCCTCAGCCTCCCAAGTAGCTGGGACTACAGGTGCATACCACCATGCCCGGCTGCTTTTTTTTATGTTTTGTACAGATCAAGTCTTACTATGTTGCCCAGGCTGTTCTCCAATTCCTAAGCTCAAGAAATCCTCCTGCTTTGGCCTTCCAAAGTGCTGGGATTACAGGTGTGAGCCTCCGCGCCCAGCCTGCCCTTACTTATTTGGTTTTAATACCTATTTTATGGCGGGGCTTGGTGGCTCAGCCTGTAATCCCAGCACTTTGGGAGGCTGAGGTGAGTGGGTTGCCTGAGTCCACGGGTTCAAGACCAGCCCAGGGAACTTAGGAAGACCTTGTCTCTACGATAAAGCAAAAATAAAATTAGCCGGGTATGGTAATGTGCACCTGAGATCTAGCTACTTGAAAGGCTGAGGTGGAAAGGATTGCCAGTGCCCAGCAGGTCGACGCTGGGGTGGCCATGAGCATGCCACTGCATTCCAGCCTGGGCAACAGAGTGAGACTCCAACTCAATAATAATAATAATAATACCTATTTCATTTAAGCATAAAAAGACTAAAATTCAAGCAAGGTTAAGTGGCAGCTTCTAAGAGAACCAGGACACAAATTGTGGACCCCTGATTCATAATCAAACACATTTCTTTGTCTGCACTCCATGGAGGGGCCACAGTCACTCGTATACACAGTCCAGGAGTTGGTTGGTTGTGTTTTCCCTGGGCCTGAACCCCCCTATGGGGTTCCAGCAATGACCCTGATTAGAGCAGCACAGCTTGGGGTGTGCAGATAAGAGAGAGAGACTGCATGAGAATATCTAAGAAAAGATGTTGAGAATCACTTCACTGTTTCCTGTGAGAGTTAAATCAATCTTCTACATAAGAAAAGAAGGAGAACAAAAAGAGGCCAATGCATTGGTTCCTTTTGGGACCCAGTGGGCTTTAGGTTAAGAAAAGATATGGAGGATCTCAGTTTACAAAGATGAGACTTGAATGGATCACTACTGACCTTGTGAAGGAGTTTCATATAGAATAAAATAAGATTTTTCTTTGAGTTGAACTTCAGACCTGACTGTGAGGCCAATCCCTGTAAAATGACTGGTTTCACCAGCCTGTGATAGAATCACATGCAGGTTTTCAAGACTATGTCAGCATATGCAAGGAAGATTGCTTTTGTGGGACGTTACTTTTTCACACCGAGACCCTGTCTCACTCCTTCGTATACCCCCTGGTTTTTTCTCTGTTTGCAGTGGCAGAAGGAGGCCATGTCCAAACTGAAACAAAAATTTGTGTTCAGAGGCTTCAAGCTGAAAAGTGGGCATACTGCAAAAGTTCTTTTCTAAAATGCTTTATTTTTGATTACTTTTAAATTAATAACTGTACCTATTTATAGGGTACGTGTGATGTTTTGATTCAGGCACACCATGTGTAAGGATTAAATCAGGGTAATTGAGGCAGCCATCACATCAAGGACCTATCATTTCATTGTGTTAGGAACATTTCAATTCTACTCTTTTCGTTATTTTAAAATACACAATAGGCCGGGCGTGGTGGCTCATTTCTGTAATCCCAACACTTTGGGAGGCCAAGGCAGGAGGATCGCTCGAACCTAGGAGTTAGAGGCCAGCCTGGGCAACATCGCGAGACCTCGACTCTACAGAAAACAAAAAGGCTAGACAGGCGTATTGATGCACACCTGGAGTCCCAACTACTCAGGAAGCTGAGGTGGAAGGATTGCCTGAGCCCAGGAGATAGAGGCTGTGGTGAGCCATGAAGATTGCCACTGCACTCCAGCTTGGATGACAGAGTGAGACCTCGACTCAAAATATATATTTCACACACATACCTACATACAAACAATAAATGGGTACATCAATAATGGGCCCCTCAGCAATGTTAGCACTAGAATGTGAATAGTACATTCATTGTACCCATTAACTACAAAGCTAGGACTGTTCACTAGCATCGCTGATGACTCTTTCAAGTAGACAAGTGCTTGGAATTTTGTTTGGGGTTTTCTCATCTCAAGAAATATGTGCTATCTGCCATGAAGGTCATCTCTGTTTGGGATTTCCAGGGCCTCCGACCCAGATGGTCACTTTCCCCACCAGGGGTTGGTGGGGTGGAAAGCACACATCTCCCCTGAACGTCTCCTCATGAAAAGTTCTGTGTTTGGTGTAGGTCAGGGAAGAAAATACAGCTTGGGTGCTGTCTGTGCAGCACAATTCAACAGCATGTTCTCTCTCAACAGGTGGCTTCGACCTGGACATCAAAGGCTGGGGTGGGGAGGACGTGCATCTCTACCGCAAGTACCTTCATAGCAGCCTCATCGTCGTGCGGACGCCTGTGCGGGGACTCTTCCACCTCTGGCACGAGAAGCGCTGCGTGGACGAGCTGACCCCCGAGCAGTACAAGATGTGCATGCAGTCCAAGGCCATGAACGAGGCGTCCCATGGGCAGCTGGGAATGCTGGTCTTCAGGCACGAAATCGAGGCTCACCTTCGCAAGCAGAAACAGAAGACAAGCGGCAAAAAAACATGAACTCCCAGGGATGGATTCGGGGAGATGTTTTATTATTGCTGTTTTTTTTTTCCTTTTGCAATTACTGAAAAAGAGTGGCTGCAAAAAGGAAGAGACTTCCATAAAGAATGAAAAAAGAATTTGATCAGAAAAAGAGACGAGAGGAGAAAGCCTCTGATTTCTCTCTATTTGGCTTTATGCAGTGGAAATGAAAATCTCCACTTTGCCTGGAAAAGTAGCCCAGTTGCACCCTGTGATGTGTCCGACAAAGGCAGAATGCTCGCGAGATTACAACCCTCATGGGGTGGAGGTTTTGCTTGTGTTTACAACAAAATGAGATCTGTTGTTTCCTGTGCTCGTTGAAATATTCGTCAATTAAGACTAGTTCTGTAAAAAGCTCATTAGAATGAAAAGCAGGCTTATTTCTCCTCATACGAATCATCATATCAGTAGGGCTCTCGTTTCTAGGAATGCTAAAATGTCAGAAGGCAGGCGAGGAGATATATTCATTTCGATCCTTGTGAGTATATACAGCAAAATCAGATAAACCAGAAAGGAAACCGTACAGATTGTGTCATTTTCCCCTCAAGATTAACCAAAAATAATCTGCTCATCTTTTTTTGGTTATTTTTACCATCTCCATTTGTTTATTTTATTTTAAAATGCACTTTTTTTTTTTGCTTGTGAGTTATAGTCTGCTTATTTAATTACCAATTTGCAAGCCTTACAAGAGAGCACAAGTTAGCATACATTTTTATATTTTTTTTAAAAGACACTTACAGATGCATTATGAGAACTTTCAGTTCAGAGCATCAAATTGGTCCCATATTCAAGGACATGCCAAGTGCTGATTCTGTTAGACGCTGAATGTCAGAGCCTGACATTGGACATAGGAGACATATGGAAGGCATGGTTTGGGGCTACTGATGGAGACATAGATGCTATATCTGAAGAGTATTTCCGATGAGGAGCAACTGAACACTGGAGGAAAAGAAAGACACTTTTCACCTTAACAGAAAATGAAACTTATTCAGATTGGTGATATCGTGATATATTTAAAAGTGAGAAAACACATTTTCTCCTCAGGAGAAATGACTGCTTCTTACCTGTTTAAACAAACCAAAGCATACTGTGTGACCAAACATTCTCTTTTCAAAGCAGGGTGCTCTTCCTGGCTTCTGGTTTCCATAAGAAATGCAGAAAAAATATATTTTGTGAAAGCTCAATCCATCTGCTAGTGTCTAGTGGGATGGAAGTTTTTGCTACATGCCCATCCACCCCAGGGCAGGTGGAAGTAATTTAATTATTTTTTAAATTAAGCAGTTCTACTCAATCACCAAGAAGCTTCTGAAAATTGCATTTTATTACCGTTTCAAACTATTTTTTAAAAAACAAATGTAGTTAACATGGAGTGATTTCTACATTCATGTGGAAATTATTTATTTATTAGCCAGCACCGGATGCATGAGCTAATTATCTCTCTGATTCCTTACCTTCTGTTTGACCACAGTAAACTTATTGTTTAAAAGCTTCAAGAACATTCAAGCTGTTGGTGTGTTTAAAAAAAAAACAACAAAACATTGTATTGATTTGTACTGGTAGTTCATAAAATTTAATTAAAACACAGGCCATGAATGGAAGGAAATATTGCACAGCTAATAAAATTTGATTCGTGGATATGATTTCTTCCTGGAGTAAGAATGCCAAGTCTTCAGTTTGGGGAAACAGTATTTTGTGCATAGACCAGGGTTTCTCAACCTTGGCACTACTGACATTTTGGGGCTAGATAACTCTGCTGCAAGGGGCTGTTCTGTGCACTGGTTGGGGGGGGATGGTTAACAGCATCCCTACCCTCTGCCCACTAGCTGCTAGGAGCATCTCCCACCCAGTTTTGACACCTGAGTGTCTCAAGTCATTGGCAAATGTCCTCTGGGGGGAAATCACCCCTGGTTGAGAACTGCTGGGCTAGAGGGAGAATAGAACCGTAATGAAAACCCTGAACCATTTATACAGGTACTTTTTAATTAGAGGAAATTGAGAAGTGATGTACCTGGCCCCTTTAAAATCGGTGCTTCATATTTTCACATGCTGAGGTGAAATTGGAGACTTCAGGGCATGTGTCTGGCCTGTCTCTACTGTGGCTCTGATGGATTGTGATGCCTGAGCTGCACACTCTCGCCTATTGTCAGGAGGACGCACTTCCAACAAGGTTGGCAGTGGCAATAAGATACTGTACTTTGGCCATGAAATTAGGTAGGTCTAAGGTCTCACACACCGATGGTCCAGTCCCAGGCTGCACTCAGTGGGTTGATAAGCCAATTGCACTTGTTTAAATTGCATATCGCAGGTGTCCAAGAGAGTGGTAAAGAATAGCATTTCTGAAGTTGCTGAGGGTAGCTGAAGAGAAGAGGAAACTGCATAATATTAAACTACTGTTTAATATTATACAGGTGAAACAGTTTTATCAAAGGACGGCGGCCCTCTTAAAGCACACACAAGAGATCTACCGCCATTACCTGCCCAAGACATAAATGAAAAAAGGATGGGAGAAGGCCCCACTGAAACATTAGAATTAGGAAGCTGGAATTAAAACTTAACAAAGGAAGACAGCGACAGACTGGTTGGAAGAACCCAGTCACATTGCATCTTCTGAAGGGAAATTGCTGCAGAGGAAGCATTAGGTCCTGGGCTTATCCAAGGCTCAGTCCTATTCTCTGTATACTCTCTCTATTCTTACTCCCTAGAAATTGTCCAGTCACCAGCCCCAGTTTTCTTACTGTGCTGGGGTTTCTAATACACTGGGCGACTTCTCCAAGCATTAGTGCGCTGATGCAGTTTTGTGAGAGCCAATTATTAGCACTTCTTCCCAGTTCTTACTCAGTGATGACAGGCTGGTAGCTTGAATTCTGTTACGGTGGGAATATTTACACCATGGAAATTGGCAATGGACAAATGCTATACAACAGCACCTGACTCCCTACCCCTGCTCTCCCCCTCTCCCACTCATTGTTAAATATTTACCAACACTTCACTGCCTCCAAGTGACATATCTGGGTTCCTTGTGCTGAGTTTCTCCTCCAATCATCTACTTTCTTTTTTTTTTTTTTCTTTTTTGAGTTGGAGTCTCACTCCTTCGCTCAGGCTGAAGTGCAGTGGCACGCATGTTCACGACCACCCCAGTGTCGACCTGGGCTCCAGCAATCCTTCCACCTCAGCCTCCCAAGTAGCCGGAACCACAGAAGCATGCTACCACACCTGGCTATTTTTATTTTATAATAGAGACATGAGGTCTCACCAAATTGGCCAGCCTGGTCTTGAACCTGCGGGCTCAGGCAATCCACTTGCCTTGACCTCCCAAAATGCTGGGATTACAGGCTGAGCCACCGAGCCCAGCCCCAATCATCTACTTTCTAGCCACTCTTTGTATTTATAGATGTGATCAAATACCTCTTTCCACTCATTACTGATGAGAATCAGGCCTAAGAAAATAGCTAGGACAAATAGGATTTGTCTTAGGAAAAATCCTCCTTTATCTCATTTTGTCTAATCTTATCAGGGTTCCATACCAGACAACCTGGGTTCAAATTCTAGCCACTTAAATGATCTTAAAGGATACACTCATTGTCTCTGTACCCCAGTTTCTTCACTGACGGTGATAAATGCAATCCCATCTATATCATACGATGCTTGTAAAGATTAAATGTATTCATACATATAAAGTACTCAGGACACATCAGGCACATAGCAGATATTTGTGTCTAGTTATTAGTATTCTACACACAATTTCTCCCTTGATTGTGTATCTGGCAGTGCCTGTTAAGCTTCTCAGTGTACCCAGAGCTTAATCGGCCATTATGGGCCATGCAATAGAGATTATGAAGCCATCATGTACACAGTTGTCCTTTGTTTTGTCATTTCGAAAACTGTCTCAATCTCCATGAAGGACAAAAGTTACTAGGAGTATGAAACATAGTGCATAATTTCTACCCTAAATTCCATGCTCAGTCTTTTGGAGTTGATGGTGCCCGAGGCAGGTGGGAGGCTTTAGAAGTTTTCCAAGTAAGCAGCACAGCCAGGAAACTTATGATCATAACGCTTGCCTTCTAAGGTAGGTAATATGGTTACTTCCATTTTCCTCATGCAGAAAACAGGCTCACAGATGTTAAGGAGTTTGCCCAGAGGTCACACATCCATCCTTGTCCTATCACAGGGTCAGCTCTGAATGAGCTTAAAGGTCTGGGCTTTGTTTTAGGGTAAGTCTAGAGCCATCGTCTTTGTTCCTCAATTTTTCCTCATTCCTCCGCTCTCCAGCCCCACCTGAGAAATCCCCTGACAAGGAGAGGAAACTTGTTAACACAGAAATCCAGCAACAGTTAAGCAACCTGGCGCCTCCCTACAGCTCCTGTGTAATTACCAGGAGTGTTCAGGCTCCCTTTGGGACTGAAGCCCTAGAATCCAGCTCTCTCATGCAGGCTTCCAAGACATTCAGTTGAAAGACTGCCTTGAGTGGGAGGGGACAGCAGGTGGGAATACTTGCTTTGTGAAAAAAGACTTAATATCGTTTCTGAGCACTGCTGATTAGAGATAATGACCTTGGGCAGTGCCTTCGCAGGGTAGGGGTTTTTTACTCCCAACACACATCAAATAACTGGCAGCTTTGTGTGATCCATATTCTGATTAGCTGTATATTTTAATTCAAAGCTGTTTCTCCTGGCAGGGCTCAATGCTTTGCTGTTGCTGCCAAAAACTACAGGGGCGGTGCCAGTTGGTTGGGGGGGTTTGCTGGTGGTTTTTTCTAACACACAGAATACGTTCTTTCCTGTCAGCAAAGGTGCCTTTCAAACGATCTGTGCTTTACTGATCCTTTGAACATGCCCTCTGGAGGAGTCAACCCAAGTGTCTCCTTGGCTGTGTCTGGCTTGTCTGTTCTTCTAGCAAGAAGGTGGACAAAACCATCAGGAGGAGGGGCTGGGAATGGCCCTGGGGGAGGTCACAGCCTGAGGAGGGCGGCGTTGTTCCTTCAGGGACTCCGCAGTCACCCCGGGGGGCTCAGGAGGGCGAGGCCACCCACGGCCGCCACTGCCCAGGACCCACCAGATATCCTTCAGCCTGGCGTGGGATGTTTGGTGAACTGGATTTATTCTTCATCACCCTGAGAGTCAGATACTTCAGCTTGATATGAGGGGAGTACAGTCCCGCCAGACAACTCTCTTCACCTCATTGGTGATTCCCAAACCTTCTACCCTGCTACCAACTCACCCTCTGACTCCAGGGTTTAACAAATGATAGCAATAAACATCACCTGGTCTGCTAGTAGCTGAAAAGGTTAAACATAAATAAATCAACAAAAAAACCCCCAGAAAAACACAATTAAATTCAAAGTCTGGAGGAAAAGTTTATTTCACTGCTTGACTTGCCTTTCTCCAAGTTATAAGCCTGAAATGAATCCATGTAAAAACCACACTGACAGCGTGTGGGGCTGTCAGGAGCAACAGAGAGTAGTCTGGTTGTGAAGCTTTCCCAGACGCCCACCATACCATGGGGAGAGCACCCCCGAAGACAAGGCATTTGCCATTGTGGGTTTCTGAGGTGTAGGATCTTGGAGGGCTACCGGGATCTCCACTCCATTGGTGGAAAGACTTCATCGAGGAACATCCTTCCAGTTGAAGAAAAGTAAAAGCTGATTTCGAGGGGCAAGGACAGGACAGGGGAGGGAGGTTGCCCCTCCCCTGGCAATGTGTCTTAGCATTGGCTTCCTGACCAATTCAGGAGACAGGTGCAGTTAATCTCAAGGGGAGCTAAATTTGTAATAAGTCTTCTGGTCAAAAAGAGAGACAAGGCCAGGAGTGGCGGCTCACACCTGTAATCCTTGCATTTTGGGAGGCTGAGGTAGAGGATAGCATGAGCTCAGGAGTTTGAGACCAGTCTGGGCCACATAGCGAGACTCCATCATAAACAATTAGTTGGGCATGATGGTGTGTACTTTTAATCTCAGCTACTTGAGAGGCTAAGGCAGGAGTATGGTTTAAGCCAGGAGTTCAATGTTACAGTGAGCTACGATAACATTACTGCACTCCAGCCTGGGTGACAGAATAAGACCCTGTTTCAAAATATACATTTGTTAAAATTATAAAGATGTGGGATACAATTCAGGGTTAGGTATCCAAATGATGATTATGCTGGTACCCTTAAATATACATTTTTTATAAGGGCGAATATTTGAGAATTTGTAATCAGGAGTCCCAGGCCAACTGAGCCATTTTTGTCAATGGCCAATTGGGAATAAAAGCTGGTTTGTGCTAACTTGGGGGTTGCCAAAATCAGACATTAGAAAAAGCCCCCTTCGTGCCAGTTCAAATCCAAACTAAGGAAGCCATCTCTCTGCAGGTCAACTAGCTGATGCATTACATCGTCCATCATTATATCCCTCACTCTTCAAAATTTCCCTTTCCCCCTTAAGACTCATCCCAGAAACTAGGAAATGGTCCCTTAGGACAAACAACCCATTGGTTACATAAACTGAGTTGATAAAGGAAAGGCTGGAATGCAAGGAACTTGGACTCACAATTCCTTGGGAATATGCAATTACCATTAGTGGAGAGCTTTCTCTATACCAGGCACTTAACACATTTATTTTCTAATCCTCCGAACCCAAATGACTTTAGAAACTCGTTTTAGAAATGAAGCAGCTGAATCTCACAGTATGGATAATTTTTTTCTTTTTCCTTTCAAGCTTCCACACCGCTAGTTAGTGGTATAGCCAGGACCCAAACCCACTGGGCTTGCTCTCTACTATACCAAGCTACCTTGTTATCAAATAATGTGTTTTTGTATTTTAAAAGGGTACTTTTTATCATTTAAGCCTCCTAATAGTTTTCTGCCTGGGGCTGCTGCAGGAAGTTGAAAGATCCCTGCATAGGGAGAAAAGGATGTCAAGTAAACTGGAAATGTAATAGGGGCTCTAAAACCCACATTGGAGGCAGCAAAGAGCAGAATTAACACTGCAAAAAATTTAATCTCTGATGTGGAAAGGACAGAATTGAGAAGCTCTCCTAAAATAAAACAGAAAAGAATGCTGAGATGAAAGTGATGAGAATGAGTTTACAAAATGGAAAGCAGATAAATATGTCAGATTTATTCCTGAGAAAGAGAAAAGCTCAATTCAAACAGAAGTATTATTTAAAGATACAATTGTAGAAAACTTGTGATCTAAAAAAGGGCCTGTGTATTACAATCTGAAATGAAAGCATGTTGTCATGTTCTTAACACAAATGAAAGCAAAGAGGCCCCATGGGAACATATCCATGCGTATCCTATAAATTTGTGCCTTTGTGCTGCAAATGGCAGGAGACCCAATATTTGTATGTGTGAGGGCCATGAAACATGTTTGGACTCTGGTGTATTAAAGCTGTCTGTACAGAAGGTGGCAATTGCAAAAATGTAGGCCATGAGTTTTTCTTTTTTTAATCTAAAGGCAGATTTTATGCCACGTTAGCACATGCTGAGCGGATGGTTAATTACAAAGCATTAGCTTGGGTAGATAAATTGTGGTATAAATGCCCCTGGGATGTTTTTGGTGAGCTGCCCATTGCCCTTCTTCACTTTTTCTTTCTCTTGATCGATTTTCTTAACTGTCCCTGTGCTTTTGCTTTTTCTTTGGGTAAGCTTTGAACCAGCGAACATTTCTGGGCATTGACTAGTACTGCTGGTGACTGTAAGGGATGAACTGACTTCCTTGTGCTTCCCACTGCAGCCAGGTAGGGCAAGAGGCCAGACCCAGGACCTGACAGGTGGCTGAGGGGGACTGGAGGGGTCTGTGAGAGTCTGGCAATACAGAAGTGGCCCCCAGAAAATCTTAGATGACTGTAAAGAGAGATTCCAGAATCGTGTTGAGGGAGTTGAGGGAGAGAAGAATCAACATGGGCAGGGAGTGGCCTTTGGGCGCAGTTCCAATGAGTCAGAGTCCACAAGTTAGAGCGCTTGGGCTTAGGAACTGGTACAGTAACATGAGGGCAAAACCCCAGACCCAGAAACCTGGGGCAGGCGGGTCAGGGAGCTGGGCTTGAGAGGCATCAGGAGGAGGGGGCCAGGGCCAGGGTTTGGACATCTTTGCCTTAGACCACAACTCAGGGCAGACACAGACAGGACTAGACCACAACAGAGACAGGATGAGGTCTTCAGGCCTCTTCAACCCCATTTAGTGGAAATCAGTCTCTGGATTCTGTAAATATTCTTCCCTAAGACTTCCAAGTATTACTCCTGGCCATCACATCAAACACTGGACAGTTTATTCCTCTGAATATCAATAACCAGTGAGATAAAATAGAACTCAAATCTGCTCTCCTTTGCAATATTAGGTTAATTCAGTTGGATCAGTTCCTGTTTTCTAAATCTTCCTTGCCCCAGCAGGATGTAGCTTAGGGTAGGAATATGTGGATCTGGCCATATTATTTCCTCTACTATAATTTTAGGCAGAGAGTGATACTGAAATCTCACATGCCTTCGTAATTACCAGTGACTGACTATAGAGTACTTTCTATCCATTCCAGTGAGTAATAGAACCAGAACTTTAAGATTTCAGAGTTGGATAAAAGCAATACAGAGCACCCAGTTAAATCATCTTTTTTTCCCTCAGATGCAATAACTGAGGTTCAAAGAGGTAAAGGGTCCTGGTCCAAGATTACACAGAAAATAGTGGGAAGAGATAAAAACAGAATAAAAGTTCCTGAGTAATGCCATGACTGCTGAATCACAGAAACAAAAGCTAAGCATTGGGTCCTTATAGTAGTTTAACAATATACACAGCATGGAACATTTCAAGAGACAGTTTACAAAGACCTGTGTTAAAAGCTTTCTCATCAACACACACACACATACACAGAGCCCTCTACTCTGGCTACATTTTACACTGCTAGTGAGTACTTTACACAACCAACATCATGCACACACTGCTCTACCAATATGCTCTCATGAAAAGGCAGTGCTAAAAGAATGCTGACGCACGGAGTCAGGCTGAGAAATAAGCAAATCTCCATCCTTCCAGAAAGCAATTATCTCAGGTGGCTGAGTCTCCTCAGGAGCTGTCTGGAGGCTGTTCCATTGGTTGGGGGCTGGACCAAGAGTTGATGGAGGTTGGGGTTAGTGGTATAGGAGGGCATATGATTCCTGACTGGACAAATCTGTGTTCCAGGGCCAAACAGAGCCGGCTGGAAGGTATTTCTCATCTTCCATTTTTACTTCATCATGAGACTGGTGGACATCTGATATGTGTCCGCTTCCACAATCACATCCATGACTGCATTCGCTTTATAGGCTGTAGTAACAAATGACAATAAACTCGGTGGCTTAAAACAACAGAAATTTATTCTCTCACAGTTCTAGAGGCTAGAAGTCTGAAATTGAGGCGTCCGTAGGGCCATGTTTCCTGCTGAGGCTCTGGGGAGAACCTGATCCTGCCTCTCTCCTGGCTGCAGATGGTGGCTGGCAGTCCTTGGCTTGCAGCTACATCCTTCTGATCTGCCTCTTATCCCATGCCTTCTTCCCTCCCTGTGTGTCTCTCTTTCCAAATCTCTCTCTCCTTATCAGAATGCTGATAAGGATTTATTTAAGGTTTAGGGTCCACCCTAGTCAGTGTGATCTCATCTTAACTTGACTACATCTGCAAAGACCCTATTTCCAAATAAGGTCACATTCCCAGGGAAAGGGGGTTAAGACTTCAATATTTCTTTTGGGGGGAACACAATTCAACCCCTAACAAGTAGCATCCAAACACCTCATTTATTCTGTTCTCATCTGTGCACCTCTAGTAAATGACACCTTATGGGTGCTGTGCTTCATGCTTTTGGGTGCACTCTCAGAGCCAAAGCAGGCAGGGCAGGCGCTGTCCCACTCTCCAGAGTGAGGAAACAAACTCAGAGATGTTTGCTCACTTTCCTAGAGTCCATATGTATCTTTATACATGGTAAGCCTCTCATCACAGGTTTTAAAACTTTTCATTCCATTTACATTCACGACTTCTGTTTCTCTATGCCTCGTACTTCCTGGTTCCAACACGCACAATAAGTGAGGTGTGTTTTGAGTATCATCTCAGTCACTACAAGCTTGTTTTGCCAGCATTCCAAAGCCAACATGGGACATCATAGAAATAGGACCCTGAGACTTCCTGAGATAATACCCAGAGGGAGCGCAAGGGCCATACAACACAGTTCGCATGAGATACTGGTTTGGGAAGTACACCACAATTTCTAAAAGGTTTCGATGTCTTCACTGTTTATTTTATCTGACACACACCATTAAGATCGTACCCTTCATGATAGGTCGTTGCTGAAGCTGGGACTCTTCTCCCTTTACTTCTGGAGTGCATGTGAGCAACGGTCATTTTCTCTTGATGCTGAACTCCAGCGTCTATGCAAAAGATAAATGCCAACGAGGACTCCGTGAATACTTTCTGTTGATCAGCATTGGCTCTACTGCAGGGTGATTTGGCGTCACACACAAATGTCTGTTTCGGTGTGTCTGTCCTGGGGAGAGCCCAGTTAGAGGCTGTAGGATGCCCCATATGAAAGCCATCACTCGAAGAGCTCCAGATAGTCGGGTGGCTGATCCTGCTGACCACAGGGATAAAGAAGGAGCTCCTTCCCCAAGGAAGTGATGGGTTCCTCCTGTCAATCAGAAGGCACAGGGTCAGGCTGGACAGATAGGATGAGTACTGTGGACGTGCCCTTCCTACCTCCTCAGGGGACATCACTCCCTGCTGCTATCCTTGATTTACATGAAGCTTTATTAGTTTGTGATCATCCTTTTTTTTTTTTTTTTTTTGAGTTGGAGTCTCACTCCATCACCCAGGCTGGAGTACAGTGGCATGCACACTCACCCCAGCCTCAACCTGCTGGGCTCTTGTGATCCTTCCGCCTCAGCCTTCCGAGTAGCTGGAACTACAGATGCGTGCTACCATGCCCGGCTAAGTTTTTATCTTATTGTAGAGACGAGGTCTTGCCAAGTTGCCCGGACTGGTCCTGAATCCACGGGCTCAGGCAATCCACTTGCCTCGGCCTCCCAAAGTGCTGGGATTATAGGCTGAGCCACCGAGCCCAGCCAGTTTGTGATCATCTTAAAAGACATTTTTCTTATCCACAAGCTGCCATGTACTCTCTTCCCCTCCAGGGCTCAAGTGCTAACTTACGACTGTCCTCAGATGTGATGGGTGTATGTACAACTTTTTATATTCTCTATCCTAGTGGGGGGCCCTCTGAACATCTGAGGAAGAACTAGGTTCTAGGATAAAGATAATGCAATTAAGAACCCTGATTACCAGAGAGAATGATCAAAGATGAATCCCCCTATAACTTGTCTCAATCATGTTTCTTATCATTGTCTTTTGTTGTTAGAGCTTCTATAGGACAGTAATCCACAAAGCAAATGGAGTTTACAAATCGTTTCACCTTGTGATATTCCACCAAATCTGCCAGGGTGGCGTGCTGCAGCTGGTCCACGCCCAGGAAGCTATAGGAGTCCGCGGAGGCATCAATGAGGAAATGTTTACAGCCCTCCTCTGACAGATAGGACAAGGCATAGCCTTTGATCCTTTCGCTGACTCGGATCAGAAAACTGCCCGGCACGCCTGTGCTCAGAAGAAGTTCATTTGCTTTCTTGAGTGTGAGAATTCCTGTGGGAAAGGAAAAAGGACAGATATTTCAGCCAAATCATTTCTCAAACTCTCCTCTGTGAAGCCCAGCCATGTGGATAAAGTTTTAGAGAAAAGAAGAGCAATTTTAAATCTATATTGGGCTTCTTAGGAACACACTAAAATCTTCGGGTATTTGGTACCTGGACAAGGGTAGGTTATATAGGCAAATAGTATAAATGAGAGCTTAAGTGTTTAACTTTAAGAAGAATACATTTCCATTTCTATACCCAGTTACAGCAATGCGGGTGTTACATGGCTTGATGGTCAGTCTGGGAGTGTTAAATCTGGAAGGAGACTTAAAGACATGCTCCTCAGGCTGCCTCAGTTTACCAATGAGAATTCACAGCCTGGGGAATCGTTTGATTTAGTCTAGAACAGTAGTTCTCAACCAGGACAGTGTCTGAGAGACATTTTGGGTTGTCATGGGTGGGAGGTGCTCCTGATATCTCATGAATAGAGGCCAGAAAAGTTGCTAAACACCCTACAATGCACAGGACAGCCCACACAGCAAAGAATCATCCAGCCCAAAATGTCAGTAGTGGTGAAATTTCGACACCCTAGTCTAGGAAATTCAACCAGTTAGTGACATATCCAGGTTGGATCCAGTTCTACAAAGTGCCTTATACTATAGCCGCTCCTAATAATGCTTCATTGGCATTTAAAGGAATAAAACTGTGTGTGTGTGTGTGTGTGTGTGTGTGTGTGTGTGTGTGTGTGTGTGTGTACACATACTGGCAAAGCACAGGTCTTCATATATATATATATATAATATATATATATATATATATATGTCTTCATATATAGTCAAAGGAATAAATTCTTCATCTATATACATGAAGTAATATATATATAGATAGATACAGTTCAGAAGCCTCATGAATTCACATTCTCCCTTTCCCCAATTGGTCCAAACTCAAGAGCTTTGACTCATGTCTCAAACTCAAGAACTTTGAGTCATGTTCCAAATTTCCCTTCTTATTCCCACTCTACTTCCTCAGATGAATAGATAATGTAAAACATATCATGGAAAGATGGCCAAGTCACTGAAATGCTTGGTGAGCAGTGTTTTCCTTGTGCCCCTTTTCCTTTCAGCAGACAGTAGCTCTTGCCTTCTCCTGCTCCACAGTTAGCTAGCTCCCTGTTGGTACCCAGTGCCTTATTATTAGGGAAACAAAAACAACAACAACAACAAAAAACCTGCACATGAAAAGGCAATGGGGTTATCATAGCCCTTTAGTCTTACTGTGAGTAAAGTTCATTGAGAAGTGAACCCTAATTATCCAGAGTAAAACGTAAAATAAAACCATTTCTCTTCTCTTTTCTGTAAATAGATCTTTAACAAGGGGAGGATTTTAAGAATTGCCTGTTCTCGCCCAACCAAGATCAACCCACCAGTCCTTCTCCCATACCTTATTCAAGAGGATGCAGGCACCAGTCCCTGCTACTGAGTCCTAATACATGAGGGCCAACCTAGTATGAGCACTCGGGGTAAGAACTGGAGGTGAAGAGGAACTAAAATCATTCTATCAAAAAGATACCTGCACACGCATGTTTGTTGCAGCTCTATTCACAATAGCAAAAACATGGAGCCAACCATGCTGCCCATCGAAGCTGGACTGGATTAAAAAAATGAGGTACATGTACACAGTGGAATATTATGCAGCCATAAAGAAGGACAAACATATGGACTTTGCAGCAACTTGGATGGATTTAGAGTCGATCATACTTAGTCTATCACAGAAACAAAGAACAGAGCACCATAGGTTCTCACTCATAAGCCAACTTTGAACAATTATCATAACACTATAAGGGATTGGTAGTAGTAAGAAATTGCTGGGGGGGGTGGGATTGTACTTGAGGGAAACTGCCATGAGAAGGAAGGGCACACCTCATTAATAAGGGTACCTGCATAATGAATATTTGTATACCTAACCCTGAATTGTACCCCACATCTTTAAAATAAGGAGATCGATGGATGGATGGATGGTTGGATGGATGGATGGGCAGAAAGAACTGGAGTGAGTGAAAAGGTCTGGCAGTGGGGGAACTGCCAGACCTCTGTCAATGTCCCTGAAATGGAGGAAGACCCACAGCCTGTCTCCCAGGAGCTGTGGCTCTACTGCCCTGATTCCCGGCTGAAGCATGTGTATTGTATACATCGTGTCCAGTCACTTTCTGCCTTCTCCCTACTGAGACTGATCCATTGGACCATAGGTACCATAGGCAATGGGTGCGCCTCTTGGCTCAGATACTGAGGTGGCTGTGTAAGTTCCAATAGACACGGGCGGCTGCTTTTGTTGGTCTATTTCACCTTCCTAAACATACCTGCTCCCACTAATGAATTACAAATGACAACCATAAGTTGAAACAAGGCATCAAGGTACCAGCCTATGCAGGGACAGCACATGGCAGAGGTCTGAAGACACTGCATTAGGTTATCTGTGAAACCAGGGATAGTTTTCACTGACACTGAAAAGTCCCCTTCAGAACTAAGAGGCTGATACATCATGACTGGAGGATTAAAAAGCATTCTGGAACAGATTTCTCTCTCTTACAGACTTACTGACAGACTCACTCTGAAATGCCAAGTTACTGCAACAGATGGGGCAGATGTTACAATTTATAACATCTGGATGTTACCCATTTGGATCTGGATCCTAAAATGAAAGCTATCCTGGAAAATTATAACAAAACCGGGGCTAAGACCAAACTCCTCCTAAAATCAGATCATATAGTCATTATAAATTAAACTTCCCCAAAGCCTCTTAACTTCTGTAATTATTACCTATTACACACAGAACCTGGCATTACCTAATCTCCTGAGACCCTACTAGAACACAATAAAATTATTTCCTGGCAAAGCACAGGTCATAATGGAGACTTCTTGTACACAGTGGGACAGAGGGTAGGTTCAAAAGGTAAGTGTCCTGGAGACTAGGCTTTGAATTCAGGAGGGCAGTTTCTTTCTTTTTTTCCTTTTTGCAAAAGGATTACTATTTCTTAAGAGCACGTTCTCTTGGCACATTTAAGCATACAGGTCAATGTACAATTTGTCATGAAGTCATCAATGGCAGTGGGTGTGTTCAGCATGTCCTGAGTGTGATTACTGCCAAGCCATGAGCTTTGCCTGCTTGGGTAGGGAGCTCTTGAGCACAAAAACCAAATTCCAACATCAGATGCTCATCACCACAGACTCGGGCAATCTCCTTGCAGTATGTTGCTCCTTGCACAACTCTTAAGGATTTTGAAGCAGAAGCTTTCATCCCACCCCTCAAAGGTTATGACACTTTTATTCTGCCTCCCTTTGACCAGCTAGCTCTCTTCACACATATTACAAGAACCAAACTTATCTGAGGTCATAGGAGGATTTCTGGGCTAGTGAAAGGGGCTTAATAAGAGATTTTTTTTTGAAATTTCATCAGTTTAGTGAACTAGATTTTCACTCTGACAGCAGTGTGTTAATGTTAGAGCTGAACCCAGCCAGGGAGTGGCAGAACTCTGGCAGCCCAGAAGAAAGCAGTTGTCACTGTATAAGGTCTCACAGACAGCACCTGGCCCTTGAGAGTCTGGAACAGAACTGGAGTTGACACTCCTAAGAGCCTGAAAACCAGTGGGGAAACCTATCACAGCTGGAGGTGAGGGTGAGCAGATGGAAACACCCCACTCCTCTCTGCATGACACCAGGGATCCTTCTGGAACTTTCTATGATGATGAAAATGGTGTCTGCTGGTCAATGTGGTCGCCACTAGCCACATGTGCTACTGAGCACCTGAAATAAGGCTAGTGGGGCTAAGGGAATCAACTTTAATTTTATTTAATTTTGATGTGAAAAGTCACATATGGTTAGTAATTACCACCACACAGGGCAGTGTAGCTCTACACCTCTCTCGAGTGAATATTTTGCTCAGGAATGGCCCAGGAGAACCAATTTTTGCACTGGAGAGACAAACAGACCCCAAGAGACCTAAAGGAACTCAGAAACCCTAGCAGGGCCCCAGTTGGAAATCCAAGGCAGCAACTGTTCCAGAGAAGGGTTATTCAGTGGGATCCCCTTCTCCACAGCTTCCTCCTGGAAGATTCAATTTGCAAGATTCGACTTAAGCATGAGTGTTCTAATTCCTCACTGTGCAGTAAGTCTCAGTTTCCTTTAGACCTATTGAGCACCTGACTCCCATGTCCATCCATCCAAGCACTCACCTGGTCTATCCAAGGCCTCACCTGGTTCCCACCTCCATCTGAGTGCTCACCTGGTCTATTCAAGGTCTCACTTGGTACTCACCTCTATACAAGTATTCACCTGGTCTAGCCAAGGTTTCACCTGGTTGCCAGCTCCACCTGAGTGCTCACCTGGTCGATCCAAAGTCTCACCTGGTTCCCACTTCTATACAAGCACTCACCTGGTCTAGCCAGGGTTTCACCTGGTTCCCACCTCCACCTGAGTGCTCACCTGGTCTATCCAGGGTCTTACCTGGTTCCCACCTCCACCTGAGTGCTCACCTGGTCTATCCAAGGTCTCACCTGGTTCCTACCTCCATCCAGTGTTCACCTGACCTATCCAAAGTCTCACCTGGTTCTCACCTCCATCTGCATGCTCACCTGGTCTATCCAAGGTCTCACCTGGTTTTCACCTCTATCCAAGTACTCAGCTGGTCTATCCAAGGTCTCACCTGGTTCCTACCTCCATCTGCACGCGCACCTGGTCTATTCAAGGTCTCACCTGGTTCCCACTTCCAACTGAGCACTCAGCTAGTTCTCATCTCTGTTGGACTACTCACCATACATTCTGCCGTGATTGGCCTCCCCTACTCCACTTCCGGTTCCTAGAGGGCAATTACCACTTCTTATTTATTTTTACACTCTCAGCACCTGCCACTAAGAAAATGCCTCAGTCTAATGGATGATTGTGTCTTATAATCAAGCCAGAGTCTTCCTTCTCTAGGACACTTCTACACAGCCCTGCCTCTAGTCTGAGAATTGTT